TCTAAAGGTAAATGTTTGATGGAGCCCATCATAATCCACATCCAAAATCCTTATCCTCTTTGACTTCAAAAGAAAGTTTAAACCTCATTGCAAGCAAGGTATTAGACTCTATTCGCCTTTATTCCTTCTACTATAAGCTATATATATATATATATATATGTAAGGGTTAGAGGGAAGTGAAAAACAAATTAACCAACACAAGCCATTGTCCATCTTTTTGAGCCCTCCTCTCTGAATCCTAAGAACTTCTCTTTATGGCAACCGTAGTTGTGCCTCCTAGGATGCAACCAACAAGGTTGGGACGGGGTGATCGCAATGTTTTCACAATGTCTGATGATACTCCGGCAATGAAGCAAATCTTGGAGACCCATGCTCCTGATGGCCGAGACAGTGGCTTTGATGTCAAACCTCTTTTCCAAATTGTAGAGGACATCATTCATCATTCCACCTCTACTGTCCCTTGGATCACTCATGTACTAATATCTTCTTTTTGTTTTCTGATCTTCTTTTCTATATATATCCTAGTCTTTGGTGGAACATTCTGAATAGATATGTCCCTATGAGCGATTGCACTGATCTTTATATATTTTGACCACATCCGTTTCCGCTCCTTAATTATCTGACTAATCGTAACTTTTTTTGTGTAGGTAACTCGAGAACATTTGGGTGGATTGGAGGATAGGGCAACCCAGAATGGATTCAATGAAATGCTCCAACTTTTGGCACACCCAATAAGTACAGTTTCCTGTGAGGTATGGTTCCATGAGGTCTACAAAGTAACTTTTGGTACGGTACCAAAAGCTAACAAAAAATAAGAGTGAAAATAATCTTAAAATTTTTGAGCCGTAAGACCCGCAACTATCTTGTTGAATTGTAACTTGACCCCAAAAGAATCTTACTTAGTCTCTATTTACTTATAAATGTTGTTATGATAGGTGGTCCATTGTATTGCCCTACACTGTTTTACAAGTAAGGTATTAAATGGCTTTTGTGACTCTCTAGTCACAAGTGCACCAGCCTGTGAAGTGTCACCAAACTGAATTGTAGACTGAGCAGTGAGATTGGTTTAACTGCTACCTGCAAATAAACCTTAAACATTTCCAATATGTATCAAGGCTTGTCCTTGTTTTTGAGCTTACGACTCAAAAGCATGAATGACATGACCCATTGACCGTCTTAGTTATACTTAGTTTAACAACATTACTCAAAGTTGATAAATTGTGACAGATATCTTGCAAGTGCTCCGGCGGCAGCGACGGGCACTCAACCACCAAGTCAATTTGTGTTACACTTTCAGGCTACTCCTGGGACGCCAAGGTGGTGATAGCATTAGCAGCCTTTGCCGTGATCTATGGCGAGTTCTGGCTGGTTGCCCAGCTTTACCTCTCAAGCCCACTTGCTAAATCTGTTGCATACCTCAAACAACTGCCAGAGACGCTCGAGCGCGTGGACCTGTTGAAACCAAAGCTTGAGTCACTCATCAAACTCATCGGGGCCATGCTTGATGTGACCACCTGCATTCTCAGGTTCAAGGAGCTCCCACTTCAGTACATTACCTCTAACACACCGGCAATGGCGACCGCCAATGCTCATATTCCTGCAGCCGTTTATTGGACCATGCGTAGCATTGTGGCCTGTGCGTCACAGATCATGAACGTTATAAGCATGGGTCCCGAGTATGTATTCTTCATGGACGTCTTATCTTGTTGTAGATATTCATATTTTTTGGTAATTTTTAGTATAATTCTAAAAAACACGCTATATTAACGTATTCTTATCGATATCTATGAACTGTACATTTAAGTAACTTTGACCATAAATATACATGTTGCCACTAAAGAGAAGCCATTGTAGTCATTTCTCATTAGACCCAAATTATGTCTAGAGTGAGGGAATAGTGGGAACGTATGTTAATATAGAAAAAAATATATAGAAGAAAAATGGAATTTTACGATACTAGTTTTTACCGAGAACTCATTATGATAGATCCGACAAAGTTTTATGCTAACTGTCGGTTACCTAACGCAACCCTTCTCCTTTATTCTGACTTGGGACAGACAGTATTAAATACAATATTGGCTGAGTGAGGAAATGTATTTATGGTGGATAATCCGTACATTGTTGTTATATTCACCAGTTAGACCACAACTTTCTGCTACAAAGACTTGTGTTATACTTAATTAAAGACAACGTTAATTTTGTCACTGATTAGGTACATATCCTTGAGCACCGAGGTCAGCTGGGAGCTATCTACCCTGGAACATAAGCTGAAGAACATACTTGAACTCCTTCAGAATCAGCTGGATCTTTGTAATAAGCACATTGGTGAGTCTTTCACATCTCAATTTTCATCAAACAGTTGGTATAGGATATCATCTTTCTTAACCCCATTCTTCGATTTAACGTTTTGATTTCAAAGAGAAATAAGAGGAAGGCTCCATTACATATACACACAGTCATACATAGTATATAGATTGAAATTGAGACGAATAAGTGTTGCTATGCTGCAGGCGAGACGAGAAGCGAGGAGACGTATCAAACTATTGTGCGAGTCATGAGCACAAGCCACATTGATAACCAAAAAGTTCTCAAGATTTTGATTTATGGCAATGACGATCAGCCACCACTCCATTATGGAACTGAAAAGAGACTGGTCTGCTCATAGCTTTTTTGCTCTTTCTTTTTCCCTTAGCTCCTGTTTACATCTAGTAAACCATGAGATAATGACATGTGACATGACAAATGCCATGGTTTTATTTTTGTATGACGACAGGTTGGTGTTGAAGAACTGAGGAAGAAGGTCGTATTGTTATTCATCTCGGATCTTGATCTAAACCTCGACGAAGAGCTTTGGCTTCTTCAGTCTATCTACGAAGAGAAGATAGCACAACCATCACACCCAGAGAGCCAGTATGAGATTGTATGGCTCCCAATTGTCGAATTTGATCGAACAAAACCATTGGATGAAGAAAAGGTTCATCAGTTCCATTCCTTGAAATCCACGATGAAATGGTACACGATAACTCACCCTTCGTTGATCGATCCAGCAGTGATTCGATACACCAAGGAGGTGTGGCGATTTACCAAGAAGCCTCTTCTTGTGGCTTTGGATCAACAAGGAAAAATGGTGAACCAAAATGCTATCCACATGATTTACATATGGGGAAGTTTGGCTTATCCCTTCACTAGCTCCAAGGAAGCAGCACTCTGGGAGGGAGTAGGCTCATGGAATTTCTCTGTATTGGCAGATAACATTGATCGAGCCTTGCTTGACTGGGTATTGCCTCTGTCCTTTCATATTTTAGCTCTCACTAATGTGTAAACATAGCTAAAATTCACAGTTCATGCATGGAAATTATATATTAAGTACAAGCTACTTAAAACCATTCACTCATATCTACACAATTTGTTTTTAAAAAACCGCGCCCAGTTACTTGGAATTAATTCTGAATTACCCTGTACACTCATAATGTTTTAAATTCGACTCACTATTTTGGACCTAAAAAATAAGTGTTGTGCAAGTAATAATAGTTGTTTTGATTTTCACTATAAAGAGGGTCTATTATAACTCTGCATTCAAAAAATACCTAGTCGTCGAAAAAGAAAAAAAATGGCAAGTTGTAGAAGGAAAAGTGACCAAAATTGACTGGCAAAATTAGAATATAAGGCAACTGCCAAAGGCTAAACCAAATGCCTTTTAGTGCAACAGAAGTTTGAAAAATTCAGCAAGATTTTGGCTTCTTCTGTAAAGAGGAGTACCTGATACTCACCTTTTCTGCATAGCCATGTATTCCTTCATACTATGTGCATCTTTAAATAAATTAATCAGAGATCCAAGGAAAGCCACACCATCAAATCATATATACATACTAATTCCATTGTAACGTCCCAGACCCGTATTGTACAATATTATCCGCTTTAAGTTAGGCCCAGACCGCTTTAAAATGCGTTGTACAAGGTCCAAAGATTACATTTACGTATCACTCACACCATCCTCCATTAAACTGCTAGAGTTTTTATATATATTTTTTTGTTATACAGATAACCCAAGACAAATTCATTTGTATGTATGGAGGAGAGGATATTATGTGGATCCGTAAATTTATAGAGGCAGCTAGAATTGTTGCCCAGGCTGCCAACATCCATCTGGAGCTAATCTACGTTGGGAAAAACAACCTTAAAGAAAAAGTTCGAAAAAACAATGTTATGATCGTGGATGAGAAATTGGGGGCTGTTATTGAGCTGGGCTTTGTCTCATTCTTCTGGGCAAGGCTAAACAGCATGTGGCAATCCAAATTGCAGTTAAAGGCCGGGGACTCAGAGAATGATCCGATAGTGCAGGAGATTAAGACCATCCTCAGCTACGACAGCGGCGAACAAGGATGGGCTGTGATCAGTAGAGGCACTGTTGAGATGACTAGAGCAAAAGGGGATATTTTTCTGCAGGCAATGCTGGAATATAATAACTGGATAACTGAAGTTGCGGAGCTTGGTTTTGTGCATACAATTGATAAGTATCTTCGTGACAAGCTCCATCCTAAGCACCACTGTACCCGCCTGATACTGCCTTTATTGACCGGAGACATCCCAGAGAGGGTGGTGTGTGCAGAATGTCGCCGTCCCATGGAGAAGTTCGTCATGTATCGCTGCTGTGTTGATGCAGCTACTACTGAGTACTGAGCCACCTTCTGTGTACTTACTACTAGAGTTTGGGTGATGTGCCTAGTTTTTTTTATTGTAATAACTGCTTAAAGTTTGCTACTATATGTATGTGTGTAGTAGAGAGGCCTGTGTTGTATTGCAGTTTCTCTGTAGTTCTGGCTTGCTGTCATGCTTTAGTAGTGGTTTGACTTGGAATAAACGTAAGTGAAAAGGGATTCTCAAATTAAGAGTAGAGCCCCGTATATATATCCAAAAATAATACAGAGTGACTTAAACATCCTTGTAGTTTAGGCAAAATNTTTTGAGCCCTCCTCTCTGAATCCTAAGAACTTCTCTTTATGGCAACCGTAGTTGTGCCTCCTAGGATGCAACCAACAAGGTTGGGACGGGGTGATCGCAATGTTTTCACAATGTCTGATGATACTCCGGCAATGAAGCAAATCTTGGAGACCCATGCTCCTGATGGCCGAGACAGTGGCTTTGATGTCAAACCTCTTTTCCAAATTGTAGAGGACATCATTCATCATTCCACCTCTACTGTCCCTTGGATCACTCATGTACTAATATCTTCTTTTTGTTTTCTGATCTTCTTTTCTATATATATCCTAGTCTTTGGTGGAACATTCTGAATAGATATGTCCCTATGAGCGATTGCACTGATCTTTATATATTTTGACCACATCCGTTTCCGCTCCTTAATTATCTGACTAATCGTAACTTTTTTTGTGTAGGTAACTCGAGAACATTTGGGTGGATTGGAGGATAGGGCAACCCAGAATGGATTCAATGAAATGCTCCAACTTTTGGCACACCCAATAAGTACAGTTTCCTGTGAGGTATGGTTCCATGAGGTCTACAAAGTAACTTTTGGTACGGTACCAAAAGCTAACAAAAAATAAGAGTGAAAATAATCTTAAAATTTTTGAGCCGTAAGACCCGCAACTATCTTGTTGAATTGTAACTTGACCCCAAAAGAATCTTACTTAGTCTCTATTTACTTATAAATGTTGTTATGATAGGTGGTCCATTGTATTGCCCTACACTGTTTTACAAGTAAGGTATTAAATGGCTTTTGTGACTCTCTAGTCACAAGTGCACCAGCCTGTGAAGTGTCACCAAACTGAATTGTAGACTGAGCAGTGAGATTGGTTTAACTGCTACCTGCAAATAAACCTTAAACATTTCCAATATGTATCAAGGCTTGTCCTTGTTTTTGAGCTTACGACTCAAAAGCATGAATGACATGACCCATTGACCGTCTTAGTTATACTTAGTTTAACAACATTACTCAAAGTTGATAAATTGTGACAGATATCTTGCAAGTGCTCCGGCGGCAGCGACGGGCACTCAACCACCAAGTCAATTTGTGTTACACTTTCAGGCTACTCCTGGGACGCCAAGGTGGTGATAGCATTAGCAGCCTTTGCCGTGATCTATGGCGAGTTCTGGCTGGTTGCCCAGCTTTACCTCTCAAGCCCACTTGCTAAATCTGTTGCATACCTCAAACAACTGCCAGAGACGCTCGAGCGCGTGGACCTGTTGAAACCAAAGCTTGAGTCACTCATCAAACTCATCGGGGCCATGCTTGATGTGACCACCTGCATTCTCAGGTTCAAGGAGCTCCCACTTCAGTACATTACCTCTAACACACCGGCAATGGCGACCGCCAATGCTCATATTCCTGCAGCCGTTTATTGGACCATGCGTAGCATTGTGGCCTGTGCGTCACAGATCATGAACGTTATAAGCATGGGTCCCGAGTATGTATTCTTCATGGACGTCTTATCTTGTTGTAGATATTCATATTTTTTGGTAATTTTTAGTATAATTCTAAAAAACACGCTATATTAACGTATTCTTATCGATATCTATGAACTGTACATTTAAGTAACTTTGACCATAAATATACATGTTGCCACTAAAGAGAAGCCATTGTAGTCATTTCTCATTAGACCCAAATTATGTCTAGAGTGAGGGAATAGTGGGAACGTATGTTAATATAGAAAAAAATATATAGAAGAAAAATGGAATTTTACGATACTAGTTTTTACCGAGAACTCATTATGATAGATCCGACAAAGTTTTATACTAACTGTCGGTTACCTAACGCAACCCTTCTCCTTTATTCTGACTTGGGACAGACAGTATTAAATACAATNTCCCATCAATTTTTACTTCTCCTTCAATTGGGTCATAGAATCTCTCAATCATACTGATGATGGTTGATTTTCCCAACCCGCTCTTACCAACCAATACAACAGTTGTTCCAGATTTAATTTCAAGGCTTAATCCGCATAGTATAATATGCTTGGGCCTTGCTGGATATGCAAAAATAATGTTTTTGAGTTTTATGTCTCCCTTTATCTTTTCTAACTTAATCCCATCAGAATCATCTAGCTCCATCTAACTTTTTCTTTTCAAGATCATGAAAACTGATTTCACTGCATCAGTGCCCTTTGATAGATCTGACGTCATACTTCCAGCTTCTACTATAACTCTCCTACAGGTCACCAATATGAAAAACGTCTGAAATAGGTGCTTGTATGTGATCTCATTATGGTACAACAATTTTGCTCCACACCAAAAAATTAACCCGGCGTTAGCAGCAGTTAGAAACTGTGAGATAAATAAACCCAACCCTGCATACCAAAATTGCTTTTTGCTCTCTCTTTTAGGATCTTTCAGTGTAGCCTCAAACGCTTCATGATTTTTTACTCAGCAGAGAATGCTGCAATTGTCCTATGATTCCTAACCTCCTCATTTGCTAAGCCACTGCTCCTTTTTTGTTGGTGTCTTGATGAATTAATTGAAGTTCATTTTCTGATTCCTCATATTTGACTTCTTGAGCGTCTGTTGGGATATAACAAACATCATTACAGTCTGTTCTCATAGGAGGTTCACCATCTTCTACAGATGTTTGTTGGAGCGGCACCATACTGAAGTATTGACCATGTTCATTTTGAAGGAGGTCGATATGAGAACCACTTTCTACTATCTGTCCTGATTGTATAGCAGTTACTATGCCAGCATTACGAAATGTAATGAGGTGGTGTGCAACTATAATTGTTGTCCTTCCTATGGATGCCTGATCTAGAGCATCCTGCAAAGATTTCTCGGACTGAGAATCTAATGCACTGGTTGCTTCATCAAACAGCAAGATTCTTGGCTTCTTCAGTAAAGCCCTTGTAATTGCAATCCTTTGTTTCTGACCTCCAGACATTTGGATTCCAAATTGTCCAACCTATTGTCAATGAAAAAATTAGGCGTCTCCCTGTTCATGGCTTGTTCTTTTCTTGATCTATTGATGCTAATGTAGGAACAACCAAAGTTCTTGTAACTTACTTGTGTATCGTAGTCATCGGGTAGTTGACAAATGAAATTGTGTGCATTGGCTGCTTTAGCTGCATCAATGACCCCAGTCATTGAAGCACCTTCTTTCCCAAAGAGGATATTTTCTTTGATGGAGGTTGTAGAGAGCACTGGCTCTTGGCTAACAAGACCTATTTGAGATCGTAACCATTTCAGCTTAAGAGTCTTTGTGTCAATCCCATCCAAAAAAATTTCTCTTTTGATGGGATCATAAAATCTTTCAATCAATGAGATTATAGTTGATTTTCCTAAACCACTGCCACCTACTAATCCCAAAATTTGACTGCCCTTCACCATTAGGTTGAAATTTTGGAGTACCATATTCCTAGGTCTTGTGGGATAAGCAAAATCCACATCCTTGAACTCCAGTTCACCTCTAACATCTTCAAAGATTTTTCCTGGCTAGTCCTCGGAATCTATGATTGGCACTTGCTCGATCATGTCAACTAACAAATATGCAGAGGCTGCTGCCTCCATGAAGAACTTTACATTGGCCAAAGAGCCCCCGAGTTCACTACAAAAAAGTAGGTCAGAATTTTAACTCCTAATCTCAATTATTGTTAGACCAAGGATTCCTATTTTACATTTTAGATATTTTTTGCTTTCCAGTTTGATAGGAGCATGTTGTGTAGCAACTAATATTAACATTTGTCTCATAGTCAGATTTGTAGAAGATTCAGTAATAAAAGATGAATAGGGTTCGTGACAAAAACCTTGCCTGAGAGTCCCAGGTGATCCAAAGGGTAATTGAAAAGATAGGAAAATTTGTCATGCGGCAGCACTCTGTGTTTGGAATATAAGCCACTACCTGTGGTGGCTGGTATCATGCTGCTTCTCATGTTAGAATAGAGGTTGGACTACCCAGGTGCTAGCTTATGAGTCACCAATGATTTCAATGGATTTTCCATGAATCTGAAGCTAAGTGAAGATAGAGGTGTAGATAGTGATGAACAATAAAACCAAGCAGCATTTTCATTCGGGTTTCTTGGCTTTCCTATTGTTGATTTTGCAACATGACCATCATGATAGTATGAAATTTTTGTGTTTTATTGATTATCAGAGCAGTTTTGTTTTTTTTTTTNATATATATATATATATATATGTAAGGGTTAGAGGGAAGTGAAAAACAAATTAACCAACACAAGCCATTGTCCATCTTTTNTATATATATATATATAAGGGTTAGAGGGAAGTGAAAAACAAATTAACCAACACAAGCCATTGTCCATCTTTTTGAGCCCTCCTCTCTGAATCCTAAGAACTTCTCTTTATGGCAACCGTAGTTGTGCCTCCTAGGATGCAACCAACAAGGTTGGGACGGGGTGATCGCAATGTTTTCACAATGTCTGATGATACTCCGGCAATGAAGCAAATCTTGGAGACCCATGCTCCTGATGGCCGAGACAGTGGCTTTGATGTCAAACCTCTTTTCCAAATTGTAGAGGACATCATTCATCATTCCACCTCTACTGTCCCTTGGATCACTCATGTACTAATATCTTCTTTTTGTTTTCTGATCTTCTTTTCTATATATATCCTAGTCTTTGGTGGAACATTCTGAATAGATATGTCCCTATGAGCGATTGCACTGATCTTTATATATTTTGACCACATCCGTTTCCGCTCCTTAATTATCTGACTAATCGTAACTTTTTTTGTGTAGGTAACTCGAGAACATTTGGGTGGATTGGAGGATAGGGCAACCCAGAATGGATTCAGTGAAATGCTCCAACTTTTGGCACACCCAATAAGTACAGTTTCCTGTGAGGTATGGTTCC